TGTCATCTTCATTACCCATTTAAGCCGTCTCCAGCCATTATTAGTGTTTGGATTTGCTTTGGACTCGAGAAATTCGTTTCTTCTGGATCTTCTATAACCAACTGTTCAAGCTACATCCATTGACTAAATCAAACTTTCCTCAGTTCACAAGAAATTTCGCATTTACTCAGAGTGACCAGCTCTTTCCACGTGACTGATCATTATCATTTATACATAGGTGAGGTCGTAACCTTGAGATATTATCAGAACGACCATTGAAAGACACTGCTGTCGACGTTCTTGTACAATGTTCATTATTGCAGTAATATTCTCACCCATGGCTAAACATTTTTCATCCTCACGAGAATAATAAAGAAACAAAGTGAGTTAGAACGAATACCTAACCTGGCTTGGTGGTTATGGCGCTCGACTCGCAAGTTGTGGGTCGAAGGTTCGAATCCCCGTCAACGAAAAGGCTCGCACTTTTAGCCATGAGGCATTATAATATGACGGTCATTCCCACTATTCGTTAGTAAAGGAGTAGTTCAAGAGTTGGCGGTGGGTGATATTGACTAGCTGCCTTTCCTCCAGTCTATCACTACTAAATTAGGGACGACTAGCGCAGATAGACCTCGTGTAACTTTGCTCGAAATTCAAAAACAAAAACAAAAAGCTAGAACGAAATCAACTTAATGGCTTTCTCAATCACGCGTTATGTGAAACCTGCAAATGTACAGAATAATGACCAATATATAAAATAAAAATATATAATAGTACAAAATAATAAAAATGCATGGTATATACCATCCAAGGAATAAAACTTACATGGTTGCATGCTAAGTAATGGTTACACCAAGACCCAGAAATTTACCTGTTACAGTTTTCTTCAGTTTCTGGCTGAACAATATCTAGAACCAAGAGATAACTTATTGTGTGATTCATCTAAGGTGGTGTCTCAGCTGTTGCTAGATTTCATAAAATAAATTAGTAAATTTGTCCCTCTAACCACATATAATAGGCAACTCCTCGTCTAATGGTCTAATATGATGAAGTTTATACAACTCGACGCATTCTTCTCATCATCTGATGAAAACTATTATAACTTTATGAAAATAGCTTTATGTAATAAGAACACTACAATATTTACTAATCTAATAACCTAATAAGAGCACATTTATTAAAAATTGCTCTTGTCTAATTGTGTGATAAAATCTATGAAATAATTGAAACTGTCTTCGGTTCTTAAACTCGTGAAACCATATTTAACTCATTTTAAGTCCAAATGACTAAATTTCATTATGTCATGAAACTTATTGGAGCCAAGTCAAATGTCTTTGTCTGATGATCGTATTAATGCTCGTACCTTCTGTATGAAGCATCATCTTTTGATGACATTAAGGAAATTCATATAGTCAATATGAAATATCCAAGTCAAAATTTTCATAAGATCATACGGAATTAAACACAATCCCTTTTTACACGATCTGATTCGGCTTGTTTTGAATTTCACGCCAAGTTACTCGAGGGTTATCTGAACTAGCCGTTCCTCATTTAGTAATGATAGACTAGAGGCAAGGCAGCTAGTCAACACCACCTACTCCCAACTCTTGGGCTACTTTTTTACCAACGAATAATGGGATTGACACTCGCATAATTACGCTCCCACGGTTGAAAGGGCATGTATGTTCGGTGACAGGGTTTCGAACCCGCGACCTACAGATTGTGTGTCGAGCGCCCTAACCACCAGGCCATGCTAATCCCTTAGACGATCTGAGAATAATATGTGTATATTTATGTCACATGACGTTTTTTTCTAATGTTTCAGAAACAAGGTTGATAAAGTGTTTGAATGTGTGTGAAACCACATGTGTAATAAATTCAAAAAATCATATTTTTCCAAGGAAAGCAAACCCAGGTATGACACCTCTTTTAGGTGTCAGAAATAGCATTATTGTTTCTAAATCTAATTCAACTATATTCTGATACGATTATCATAACTAGAAGTAACTCCAAATTTCTTTCATAACCTACAGATGACAGACAGTCGTTAACCCGATAGGTCAGTCGTCCACGGATAGTCTTACAACATTACGACCTACATTTTAATCAAGATTGTCCAACTTTTTCATTTTGATCACGTTTTACGCAAGGCATATAATTATAAATCATAGATGTGTTAGAGTTGATTCCATAAAACTTTGCTCCAGACAGTGTCTCAGAATCAGCAGACAACATTGAACTGTCTTTAATACTTCGCTGGAACTCTGGGGTGTGTGTATCAGTCATCTTTAACGAGCAAGTCTAGTAGCAGTTAGCCATATTGAGTTTTATGTTACTTACTGTAGAAAAATATACAAAACAAATGCTATTCCAGAACTTATAAGGAAACACTGGCGACATTTGATAGGCAAAATTAACATCTTTTATTTTTAACCTCATTTCCAAGATCGAATGTGGTCTAATGGTTAGCATGCTCAGACAGTGAACCTAAGGGTTCGAATTCGCGTCCCATTAATGCGAAAAACGCGCTTCGCTTTTGGGACTGTGAATGATGGTCAAATCCCATTGTTTGTTCAGTCAAGAATAGCCCAAAAGTATTATAGTCTATCATTTCAAAATCAGAGATGGTTAGCGCAGATAATCAATCCTACTATAACTTTGCGCGAATTTCCAGCGCTGTATTAAAACAATACCTTTTGCCTATCTGTTGCTGTGCATACCCATTGGCCTTAGGTAATCTCAGTATCATTAATTAATAAGTTTGAATTTCAAGTGAATGTATTAATGGAATCAATTAATCCGTTTGAGAAGACACGTTATTTTTGAGTTCCCCCACCCGGACTTACAACGCTTAAACCAGGAGTTCCTGTCTCAGAGGTGAACACAGCAGATAACCTAATATATCTTTGCTCTTAAACAAATACTGTTAAGTTAAAAACGTATATTGAAAATACATATATATATATATTTAAACAATATACTTTTCGATATATGTAACAAAAGTTTATTGTACTATTTTGGTTGAAAAACAACTAATTTCGGAATATTCAACCGGAAATAAATAAAATATCCATAAATATGTTTTAATGCATTTAAACGGTAACAACTGAGCTAGATAAATAATAAACAGGGGTAAGTAACATTGACCTTTCTTTAAGGGTTTTTGACTGCAGCTTGAAAAAATGCCTGCTCAAATGATTAACTTTCTGAGTCAAAAGCAAAACCAACAACACCTTGCTGAAAGAAAAAAATGGCGCCTGAAAGATTAAACATATTAAACCTTATGAGAAAAATATTTGAACTTCGAAATATCAGCAAGTCCGCACACGTGCCGATAAGTAAATGTAAACATAAAAGAACTTCGAGATAAAATAAGTTTTCCGCTAGTTTACCATCACTGAAGGCATAATAAGTATATACAATCCATTAAGGCACTTTATATTATCAAACACATTGTTGCTATTCCACAGCAATATTATTGTTCAACCATCTGCCAATTCATTCTGGTTAAAATGAAACTCAACGATGCGCGTTTTAAAAACCGTTGCGTACTAATCATGTGTTTAGTCTACTTTACAGTAATACATTTCGAAATATCATAAACAGTTTGATAGATATTTAACGGGTTAATTGGTAAACATTATTCAATCATAACGTAAATTTTAATT